TGCCTATTGTCATAGGTGATTAGCTAAAATGCCCACCCCAAGCTAAACTCAGCAACTTCACTCTAACTACGAAATGAATAAAGGAAGAGGAGGGAGTAGAAGAAGAAGTTGATAGATTAGGATTCGTAGTATTATTCATAAACAGTTGAAACAGGAAACATTAGAATCAGACAATTGAGATTTGTGGTTGAAGGAGGTAGAGGCAGCAGGACCAGCAGCAGCAGCAGCAACAGGAGTTGGCGCACCAGTGGTTGGTGCATCGACAGAGCAGCGTCACTCGTAAGCAGTTTTGAGCACCTCATCATGTAGTTTCCTCCCTCTTAATTGCTCGGTGGATGGCTTCAATGCCCTGGTACGAGGTTAAGGATTCTGGTGGCCAATTGGATGGTGGAGGGTGGATGGAGAGGCAAGAGAAGAGTGAGTGTCACTTGCTATTAGAGCGGTTGACAGGGAATTGAAGAGCTCACTCACTTGTCCATTTTCAACAGTACTGAAGCACTTGCAGTCCGGGGATCTGCCTTTCGCGTTTCTGCACTCATGGTAGAGGGCACGGACAAAGAGGAGTGCCTACTATTGACTTATTGGGAGTTGCTTCTGTGGCTTCGCATTTGCAGATCGTGGTGTTATGCATCGGCTGCTGACATTGACCAATTTCAGCTTGAACTCCTGCTCTTCCGTAATGTCTGCCTGCGCAAGCTGCTGGATTTAGTTCAGTGCCAATGAAGAAGAAGATGAAGAAGTAGTAGTAGTAGTAGTAGTAGTAGAATTATTAGTCGAATCAATTGGGAATTGAGAATCAGGTTTATGTGCAGTTTATCTTCAAGAGTTGAGAGCACGTTGTGGGCACACTCTCAAGCACTCGGGAAGAAGATGTCAGGAAACCTGTCGCGTATTAGGTTCTTGAACCTCCGCACGTCCGAGTCCCGTCTTCCTTCCACCGTCACCACAAAGCACAGGTCACCATGCTTGTTTCGTCTTGCGATGGAGGTGTTAAGACGTGCTGTGCAGCCGGTGAGGCGAGCAGCTCGACAGATGCGTCTGTCGTCGACGTCTCCGATCATATCAGCGTATTTGGCCTGGATCAGCATCAAGCACTTGGGATTGGAGGGCTTCTCGAAGTGGAAGACTTCCACCACGTCGTTGAAGCGCACCACTTTCTTTGCTGCTTTTACATCTCCTCTTCCACCAGTATTCGCAGAATCACCTTGAGCAGCAAACGCACCGGCAGCTTTGGTGTTGGTGGCAGTAGTCTTAGTAATAGAAGTAGCAATATTCGAAGGCTTTTGTGCATACATTTTGCCCTATTCGGTCACCAATTTTGCAAAGGAAACTTCAGCCAAATGACTTCAGTTGTTTAAAATCGATAATTTTTTTCATATGCGAACATGTGCTTCAAATTCAACGAAATTTGAATACCATATATTGGCGCATCTTTTAACTCGTACTTGCATCCAAAATGGGGCATTATAAAACTAGAGTTTGTAAGAAGTCATCGGGAATCTTCATTTTCACCACTGTCATCCATTAGTAGCACCAATTGACGTGAGTTATTGCTCCATCTAATGTGCCAGTAACTGAGCAAATCTTGCAATTTTATGAGTAGGAAATGAGATGTTGCTGTGACCCCATTCAGTGAAGATTTCTACTTATAAAGTATTTGCAGTACTTAATTGAAATATCAGAAGGCTGTATCAAATCTGGATTATTGAAACAAGTACGCCTGACTACACCCGGTGGCTAATGAGACACAACTGGTTTTATAAGTTCTTACAGTAGGATTAGAAATACTTCATATTTAATGCTGAAATCGTTTTTGCGAATAGCAATGTGGCTCCCTAATACTTTTCCACACTCACTATTTGCTAATAATAATATGGTAAAAATATAAATGGGCATTATCATTCGCGAAATATATATGGCCAAAGAATATCTAGTTTGCTGCAATAAATCAAAGACTTGATCTTATTTTTTATTAGCGTTTTTAAGTAATAGTGGTCGATTAAAATTTGTTTACACCTTTCAAAGTGATTTACATAGCGCACGGCACTACTTTGAATATGTAGCGGATTGGTAGCATTTTGGCACGAACTTATCAAGATATTATCGACGAAATAAATTCTCCTTGTTACATGCGCTTCTGAGCAACTTCAAAAATCGCCTGTTTCAAAGTTGCATAGTATTTGAAATTGTGGAAAGTAAAATGACTATTTGTTGTAGATAAGGTGTTATGTTATATATTTATATAATATGAGAATAAATAAATATAAACATAGATTTATTATATAAAGTAAGGCGTTTGTTGTTTAACATTTTGAGCAGGTGATCAATCTCTAACATTTTACCTAATACTAATCTCTAGCATGATTCTTTCAAGTATTTGCAATGGTTGTCATCCCCTCATTGCCATGGCACATAGTCAATTCTAATCATCCTTCCCACAGACCGACTCACTTCTCCCACCTCTCTCAGACCCATTAAGTGCAGTCTTTAAGACCTATCCATCCCTCCATCTAACTACCTATTGATGTAAAGAGGTGGTGAGCACACGGATAGCATAATATCTTTGGGGACTGTAGAGTCTAGCGCCTTATAATAGAAGAGTGGCAAGATGGATGGAGAGCGAAAGTGCGAAAGAGAAATGCAGGCAAAGAGTCTTTACAAATTCAGTTATCTACTCCGCTCCCTCTATTTGTATCAGTTCTGAATTTGTGCTTTCTATTCACTTGCTCCGAATTCCTCTAAATACCTCCTAATCGCATCAACTACACTAATATTGCATTAAAATAAAGTCTACTGGCTTTATTTAAGTGATATATGCGTGTACTTATATTTTCACATCCAATTCATAAGCAGTCTTTCAGGAAGTGTTAAGGATGGTGGAAGCGGCCTGAGGGAAGGCAAGTTCCCAACCACTTAACCCCCTTACTTACCCCCATACTTACCTCAATGTCTTCATTTATTTTAATCAAAGATTGAGCTCAAAGTTCCATAGATTTTATTCATTATTTTAGCAAGACTCAGGTTCTACATGATGATGAGTTTCATACAGAGAGGCGTGTTGATGTGGACAAATTGGTGGTGATTTTTCGATTGACAGATGTGAATTCAAATACAACAGTGCCAATGACCAGTGACTGACAGTGAGTGGGCGCTGAAAATGTACTTCTAAAGGGTCGTATGCGACGAAATGGGTAAAAGTGAGCTGAGCAGATGTTAAACACTGTGGGTGAAATGAGCACTTTACCTCTCATTGGGGATGATCTCATCACAGCCTGTTCAATATGACTCAGTTTATTTAATTTAGTTCATTTGATTCGATTTCAAAATCTGAAATGTGGCCTTAAATCCAATATGGTGTTCTACACTGAATTCTCTCAGTCCATCATCTTAGATCCCTCAGTTCGTTCAAAGCTAGTGTGTACGCCATTAAACACTGATGATGATGATGATGATGATGATGATGAGTCCTCGAGA